GGTGTATCGAAGGCGATCTTGTACTCAACTGAGCAATGGACACGCGTCCGGCCCCCTCCTCCACTCCGACACCCACCAGCAGTCATGCAAGCCCCAGTGCGTCGTCCGAGCAGGGCGTCGCAGTTTTCGGTGAAAGACGGCTGCTTGGGTCGCTAAGACCGGATCCAGAAGGCAACAGTGAAATGGATTCCGACGACAGTGTGTGGGAGCCTGTCTCGGATGAGTCGAGCGCAGCGTCAAGTGCTGAAGAGGCTCAAGATGGACTTTCGGACGTGGAGTCACTGGATGAGTTCGCTGAGGACAGAGGCATCAATTTGTTTCGCGAGGACTTTCACGACACAGTGGTCGACTTAATCCAGCACGACAAGGGCGACGATCATTGCCTCCAGGGGAAGGCTGCTGAACTTGAAGATTTCCTGCGCTCGACATCAATCATGACTGCCCGGGAGATGAAGCGGAGCGTCCTGACTTCGTTGGCGATGCTCATGAAGACAGACACCGCAGTGCGGCGTCGGGGTACTGGGGAAAGGTAAGTTTTCATGTTCTACCTGCCACTGGTAGGGCGTGTTTTCAGAGATGCATGGTGTGCTGTCTACGGCGTTTCTACGGCAACTATCACTCGCTACCGCCGTCAAATTCAACGTGGCGCCTTCTCCGTCAAGGTACACAAGGGTCTACTGACCAAAGATCGACATTCGCTGGTTGGTAGGCTGGTTTCGGTCGTTTTCTTCGACCCTAGGCGATGTTGTTCCCGTGAGAGTCCGCACACAGAAAACGATAGCCGGTGACGTACGCAAGCAGTACACGGACGAAAACTACACGCTGCTACCTGCATACTTTACTTGGGATCAGCTCTACTCTGAGATGAATGCCTATGTGCTTGAAAACGACCTGGACGTGCGTGAACCCCGCCCTTCGACGTTTCGAAAGCTCCTACAGCAGTATTGTCCGACGATTCGGATCAGGTCTCCTCGTAGCAACGTGTGTGACTTGTGTGCTATCCTGCACACTCGCATGCGGTCGTGTATCACGACGGAGCTTACTGAGGAGCTAGGCGTCCATACTGAAGCCGCGAAGGAGATGAGGTACGGATACAAGAATCATTTTTGTTTAGATTGGATGCAAAGATCATTTTGTTTAACTGTGAACTTTTTGTATAGGCTGGAGTACAAGAAAGACATGGCATCCGTGTCGGAGGATCTTGCAGTGATCGTCATGGATTTCAGTCAAAATCTGACCCTTCCTAGTGTTACCAGCACGCCGTCTCAGTGGTATTTCTTGTCTCTGGTGAACGTTCACGTCTTTGGAATTTACTACGCTAACAAGGGTATTCAGTACAACTACGTCTACGAAGAATCGGTTGCCGGCAAAGGAGCGGACGAGGTCAACAGCATGCTGTACCACTTCATCAAGCGGATCGTGTAGGCGAACGGCCACCGAAAACTCACTATCTACGCTGACAATTGTGGGGGGCAAAACAAGAATAACTTCGTCATTAAGATGCTGCTGGCTTTAGCTCAAACTGGAGAACTTGATGTCGTTTCGCTCAAGTTTTTCGTCAAAGGTCACACCAAGAACGCTGTTGACCGTGGCTTCGGCCTTATGAGAAAGAAGTTTGCTAAGGAGGACGTGTGGACGGCTGACCAGCTACTCGAGATTATCAACGACTCCTCGTCTAGCTCAGCTATTGTCCATATCCCGAAAGAGAACACGATGATGAAAGTGTTCCGAACGCCGGTCACAGAGGCCTACAAGGATCTTAAGGGGGTGCAGCGCTACCAGATCTTCTCAATGAGCGAGGAGAAGCCGGGGGTTGTCAGCTGCCGTGTTGGACCTGCAGACGAGACTATGGACCAAGACCTTCGCCGGTTGTTTGACGGCATACAGACAGACGCCGCAAAAGTGCAAACTCTGCTAGCTGCGTACTTAGAGCCTCTACAACCACCGCCTCAGAATTTCGAGAAAAAGCAGCAAATGTACAACAAGGTAAGACCGTACGTCCCTTCCGAGTTTGCGTCGGATCCCCTGTACGCAGCTCCTACGGATGAGGAAGAGCGCCTCGCGAAGGAGGCTAAGCAGGCACGTCGAAACGCAAGTGCCAAAAAAAAGAAGAGAGACGCTGCAGTTTCTGATGAGGCGAAGGTTGCCCCGGTTGAAAGTGAAGAAGGGAATGAAGGCCGTGCAAACGTGTTGAAAGCTACAGCAGCGCAGCCCAAGACTGGAACCCGAAGCCGAAAGCGCGCAAAGAAAGATAATTAGGTCAATTCGTGAGTGGAATGTTAGCAATACATCAGAATGATCCTTCCATCCTGTACCCAAATACCCCAAAAAATAAAAATGATGTACCCAAAAATTCAAAATATACCCTTCAAAATTGAGATCTCCAACTTCAAACACATATTTAGAAAGGAAGTAATGCAAACTAGATACTGAGACCAGGTGCAATCGATTCAGTAAGAAAAATTGTTTCCAGGGGTCTACGAACATTTTTTCCGAAAAATTTTTTTTTCAAGGAGACATGTTTTTCTGAGGATCGTCGCTCAGTGAGTTTTTTGTAGATCTGAATGCACCAATCAAAAGAGGAGATCTTCCTCTTTCCAATGATGTGCCTAAATCGCGATTCGTACTTAGGTTTGTAAGCACCTTTTCGTTTGACGCCGTCTCATGCAACCTGCCTGCAGTCACGTCAGGCTTCGGATTGCGCACCGGCTCTCGACCTTGTAGTGTCTTTACAATCTTCGAGGTAGCGCGTGTCCCGTACGTTATAATCGCTGCAGGCGTTTGTTCGCGTACTGGTGGTCGAGACAGCGCTCTTTGCGAGGAAGAGGGAGGACAGCGAGAAGTACGAAAGCGAGGAATTGCCAGGCAAAGGCCCAGGCGGGAACGACCAATACGGCTACGATGCTGATATACTACTCGGAAGCTAGTAAAACCGGAAGTGAGGTTAGTGCTGCACGGCGTTAGCGCATGCAGCCGTCTTGGGACCCTTGTATAATATTGGGAGCTACTGACGGCCGCTGTGTTTGTTGTGCTTGTGGATAGCTGCCGCTACAGCAGCGATGTTGTTGATGGCTGCATCCGTGGCTGCCAGGACCCAGTGCGCAGCACGGTACCGAAAGGGCTGCGATCTCTCGTCAGTGAGGGGGGGGGGTATCCGAGGGTCGTGACGGGACACCACGCACACCCGGCTACTGGGTCGCACGTTTCCGTGCGACGGACCGGCGAGTTGCATTTTGGCCGTAGCCAAGTGTAGCCATGACACTGCGGTGTCACGGTCACAGGCTCGTAACGCGTTTGTCAAACCTCGGATGCCTGCTGGCATCTCACAGCACGCACTTGCAGTTCGCTTGTCGCTGCGTGTCACCTCATTTGTAGGGTACGTGTCCACTCACCGTGCGCCCTTAAATACTTCATCAATCATTCGCCTTCTCCAGTCTTACTCTGGGTGTCTTATTCCTATTTACTCCGAATATTGATATCGACTTTCATGGGTCCATACCACACTGCCCGCCAAGCTGATATCAAATTCTGTAAATAGCACATGTTACTCGGACAGCTTCCGAATGGTGAAATCGGGATACTGCCGCACCCTGAACAGTGCATCTTGCATCATCACTACCATAGATTCCAAAGAATATCCAAGAAACCAGCAGCTCTTTTGCGGCTATTTCTGGGTGTGTACGGTGTCCAACATCGCGTCAGCGTCTATCACGATGCTTTTGTTCGCGATGTGCTTCACAAGCGCCTCATTCGGATTGAGCAGTGCACCTTCAAAGATTTTTAACCGGTAAACGTGGCATTCGTACTCACTGACGTTATGTAGGTGCTGCACTACAAAAGCGTATGGACGGGTTTCCGTCAGATCCACCCAGCACATCAACCGTTTTTCCCCTGTGGCCTTCCGTCCACGTGTGACTTGAAAACGTAGTCACTGGTGATAAACTTGCACCGCCTGACTCGCTTTGCCGTCTGTTCGTACAGCTTGACGTTCCTTTTTATCGGCTACATCCGCATGCAACTCAGCAAAGCTGATCCAAAGACGCCCGAGATTAGCACGGGCAGCAGCTAGCTCGTCAATGCTCAGCCGCGCCAGAATATCGGGTCGTATCAACGGGCGGTTTGTGTGGCAATCCAGCGAATCGATCCGTCGGGGAGCCTCAGACAATCGTAAAACCGGCGTGTGAGTCGAGCTCGCCTTCACGACAGGTAGCAGATTCTCTCAGTTCCTTGCATCGCCTTTCACTTCCGGTAACATAGCTTGTTCCCAATCCAAGATGTCGAGGTTGATGCATTCATCCGTGTCGTTGATCCAAGACGAAAACGCTAGCACAAAAAGCTGCAATCCTCGCAATTGCTGACTCAGTTCCGCCATTAGTTTGTTCTCAGCGTCTGACCCGTTGCCAGATTAAGACATCGTTGCGCTCAACCACCGCTCTAGACTCACTCCATGAACACTCTATAAGCTTTCTGTACATCAAATGCTTACGCAGAAAGCACTCCCTCATTAGTAATTATACATGGTACTTAATAGCGTACTTGCTCGGTAGGTGGGTGAGCATCACTTAATTACGCTCCTTCCGTGGCAACCAAACATTGTATATAACCCCATCGCTCTCGTTGTACTCACCATCCGGCACATGTTTTGCCATTGCTGGCCTTGGTTAGCTTCATTCGGCGACGACACGGCCAGGGAAAGCTATCATCTTGGAGGGCCCTACCCCCACCGCGAGACGCTATATAAGGCGATATACCGAAATCCATAAGCCGTAGAGGACAAGCTAAGAAATTTAACCTTAATGGTCGTGCGGGCTCAGACAAACATGAAGTCAACGAGGGTTAGTCATGTATCCACATCTTTTGTGCAGAGATATGCAGTATCTTCAATTGGGCATTTCTAGGAACTTAGCTGATACAGGAATGATTTGGTGTATGTCAAGGGGTTGATAAAAGGGGTTGGAGGTGTGATTTCAGACAATTTCTTGCTCATTCCGGATTTCCCCCTCAAGTTGTCGCTGCCTCTGAAAATGTCATTCCAAGCACGTTGGAGAGAACTAAAAAGGCTCGGATGGGGCTTAGAGAATCCAACCGGTCTATCCTCGTATCCCATGACGTCAAACCTGGAAAGACGAAGAAGGACGTCAAGAACGCGGAATATGTTGGGGTTGTAGAGCGCTGATGCGGAATTTGGGCCGCTACGACAAGGGTGGGCTGGTTGTTTTTATATAATGGTATTGTCACTGGTTTATTTGGGCATTGTATGAGCACAAGCAGCCGTCTCTACAATGCGGAACCCCCCAGAAGCCTATTCTGAGGCTGCTTCCGCTCAGAACGCGCCGGGGGCTAGTGAGGTGACGTCTGCATCGGTCGTACACGAGCCGAGCGCTGTGGCAGCCCGCAATACCCCTCCTCCTGCTGCGGATGTTCACGATTCAAGTGTAGTTGCGAAAGGCACTCAGTTAGGGACTTAATCGAAACGTGAAATGGTTATGGCTGTATTATACACTCTACGGTACTGACCCTATCGTGTATTGTACAGGGACCTGACTCAAGTATCGTATATGCGTCTTCTGGCGACGATGCGGATACAAAGTAGCATTCCATAACCCACTCCGCAAGCCCATCATTCTTTGCGTATCTCTCGGTGTACGTCTGGTACCATGTACCGTACGAGACGAACGAATATGCAGCTAGTACCACCGGGATGGCATAATGAGTATCAATCTGTTTAAGCTGCTACGCTGATGCTTAAGATTAACGCAATCCTTCGACACTTCATGTTGACGCAGCAGCTCGCATTTACCCCTTGCTCAATAAACGGAAGGAGATAGGAGGCAAGTTTGCTGTTTGTTGGCCGTAAAGTAGCTCTGGATGGGGCTAGTGTGACATGCCGCTCAAGGCAAGGGAAGCAATTTGCTGTCTTCAATCCCATGAAGTTGACTAGGAAATATCATTTTCGGCTGTACGTCGTATGCGTCAACTTGGATTACACCCAATTTTCGCTTGCACCGCAACAGAAGCAATATAGCTCGCCGGCACGATGGATTGTCAGCCATCAGGAGGCAACAGGGTGTCAACAAGAGCTGATCCCGCTCTCGACTATGCGGCAGCTTGAACAAGAAATTACCCGACCGCTTTTTGGAAGTCAGCGTGTGGTACACACGGGTAATTAGTACACCTCTGTGCAGCTTTTGCAAGCGCTGCAACTGAAAGGAATCCGTGACCGGGGGGGGCTTGTACCAGCAACAGCAAGCGTTTACCAGGGCATACTTTACTTGACAAGAAGCACGACAATTGTGACATTCGACAGGCAGTGTCAGTTGAGCACAACATAATCGATGTCTCTTGGTGTGACGGGAGTATATTGAGCGTGGTGACAAATGCCGATCCCTCGAAAGTTACGGATGTCACTTGCTTGTTGTCAATGAGCTTGCTAAATTCTCGGCACATACGTGTGTGGGCGAGAATAACCGAACCATGCAAGGTGAGGACAGACTGGATCAAATCGGAGGGCGGTTTGCAATCAGAGACAGTCACTCTTTCAAGCGATAAAAAATGATTTTTCGTTAGCTATTATCGGCGTCGCTAGGTCCAATGCCTACTTAACGCGTAGACTTGTGCAGCGTGGTGGGAACACGCACGATCTTTACCACACGTTCATGGCTGAGCTGGTGAGGGAGCTGACCAGTGGGAAATGGGCTAGTACGCCAAGTGAAGGACGGATGCTTTACAGGCAGCGACGGTCTTAATGAGTGCACTGTTGTGCCCCAGGTACCAGCAGGTCGGTCAGACTTGAGCGAGGTTAGCTCTTATGTAAAGTGCACCTCGCTGTCTTTGAATCAAATCCAGCAAGAAGTAAACGTAAGAAGCGAAGCTGCATTGTATGCAGATGGGAAGGCCGTTATCTGACTAAAATACAAGCTGCTGCTTGGTCCACGACGTTTGCCTCCATCGCGCAATTTACGCTGGAGCTGTTTCGCCATGGATTTATCAGAAAATAACATAGGCTGGTTGGGATAAGTACAACGGGTACTTTTTCACCAAGAATGGTTTCTTCCTCAAACAAATAATTGCTGGCAAAAACCTATACTAGCCGTTTGGGTTATTGGTTTGGCTGCAAGCGCCGCAGCCCCCGCTACCATAATAACGTTGTTGAGCTGAAAAGAACTCGGTACATGATTCTCAATGCAACCGCGACCAAGTAGGCACGCTCACCGCGCACTTCATAACCCAAGCATGAGCCAACGGCAGTTGTCAGCGCAAATTGAGCAACTACGTTGCCGATTCCAGCTTCAATATCAACAAATACGTCGTCGGTTATTGCGGGTCTCATAGCTTTAATCCGTTTGCAACTCCAGATAAAATCACCACTCCAGCGTTACCGTGAATGTGACCGGGCTGATGTCGCATTTCGGCGGAACTAATGTCTCCAAATATCATGCTTACAGCCTCAACAACGTCTGGAAGCTCTAGCCGTGTACTAAAGGGCTGCAATTGCGATGTCATACGCAGCACTGAAGGCGAGGTCGCAGCTCTAAGCGTTGGTGATGTTGGATGCACTCAGGTGCCTGGTGGCGCAGGCCAACTAGACTGTGTAGCTTGCCTATGGGGCAACGTAGAATGGTTGCGAGTGCGGCCGCGATGCCAAGATTCCACCTTGGAGGGGACCACTAAAACCCCGGGGCGTAAAGCTACGTAGGCCTTGTCATGAGGGCGCTTTAGACTTACGAGCTGCCCTCGTAGCGATATTTCCAAGTGTCTACGTTATGTCATCCGCGCCACGTAGCTCCATGTGATATGTAGGCGCTCCTGCTCAAACCTTAACGCAATTTAAACGAGAAGCTTGGCCTCCCAGGCTTGGAATGTTGTCGGCGTCAAGGGGATGAATGCAGGTATTTGTCCTTGATTTTACATGTGCGACACTAACCTCACAAGCATATGGATTTTAAAAAATCAATTGGCGGCTCAGCCTTCGTAATATATTTACGTACTTAAACGGTAGAGACAACCTGATCTAATCCTTGTTCACACTGAGCGGTGAAACAAACGTAGGTTGGTTTGGCGAATAAAACACTCTGAATATATCTAAGGGCGCCTCAACATCCTTAGTGAGGGTGAGTTTCTATTAACTTTTGCGAAAGGCTCAAAAAGGCGCATGAGGCGTCCTTTTGTCACGAAAGGGTTAACCCTTTCATGGTACAAGAACACATTTCTTGTCCCTTTAATCCTTCTAGAACGGCCCGTTATTCAGTATCCTACAGCATAATAAAATACCTTGATTATGTTGTGTCGGCCGAGTAGTTGTAGTTGTTGCAATGCCGTCAGCATTTGGAAAGTGAGATGGTACACACCATCTCTCCGACGACTTTCCCTTTTGGTGGCCAATGCTGGCCTTTTTTCCTTTGGCTGACTGTTAGTGCATCTACCGGAATTAACGTGTTTTCTGCAACCGTGTAAAAAGTACCTTTCACCACAAAACCGTAAGAACGGCGGAAGGCGTAAAATCTCGCATAAGATACTCCTGTCCATTTGAAACCATCGCTTTGCTCACAATACTGTAAGCAATAGCGCGCTTTGACTGGGACTCTGTTTTGATGCCAAACTGGTTAATTTTGTTGGTGCTGCAGACTTTTTACGGGCCACTGGTTGCAAAAAATTGATCGGTTGCAAAAATACCGTTAATTCCGGTACTGTCTTAGCCAATAAGATCTGATTTTAAAAAAAATAGCCTATCATATTACTTCAATTGGTAGCATACGAAGTAATATCAACTATGGCACAGCACTCCCACTAAAGAGCTAGCATTGTCCATCAATAATTCTTGTAGTCTTTCTTGGAGAGTGCGACCTTAACCATGTTATCAGATCTTTCATGTTTATTTCCGTGTCACAATCCCAAATTACAATTTTAAGAATACCGAATTTAACTTTTGTATCCACCACGATGTTCGGAAGAACGCCCAATTTAATAAAATCAACCCAAAATCACATTAAATACTTTTCGTCATATTAACCCTGTTTCTGAAGGTGCCGACAGCTGTCGAGCCCTCTCACTCTCAATTTTGCCTCCATACTGCGCAAGTACTGGTCCCGACGAAAACCTCCGGGGGGCGCCCACAAACCACTTGTACTCTATCTGGCAACAGCGGTCTGGCCTAAGCCACTGAGGCCTTAATGGTCCCGGCCTTTTAACTGCTCATGGAGGGGGGGGGGCACAGCAAGGGGGAAGTCTGATCAGCAACTCGTGGGCGTCCAGTCAGCTGCAGTATTACCACACCAACAATGTGTTGGTAGTACTTGACCGTAGCCTAACTCCTGTAAAAGTAGTCGTAACCACATAGCTTCTCGAACACCTTCACTAGCAGCTACAAGCTCTGATTTAACTATGTTACGACTTTTACAATCTTGCTAAATACTTTCACACGTGATGAAAGCACGCGAAGGGATGTAGCGACGTTGACGACTCGAGCAGCATCGAGGCTTCGTATACCTGAAGGCTCGCTTTTAAACACGTCGTATTTATAACATTTCTGTTGGAGCCGGCGGGCATGTTGGCTTTCGGTGCTCAGGACGCCAGCTACGCCGCACCAGCTAGTAATGAATCATATTATGTAATAGACTTTCTTTCTTCATTAGCATTCGCGAAGCTCGCGTCTGTGTATAGCTCTACCTTTACAGTACTATTTCCATTGTACTCTAAGTCATACTGGGACATTCTTTTCATATACTTTAGTACTCGCTGAGCCGCCTTCTAGTGGGTCTTATTATAGCAAGATATATATTTACTAAGCTCCCTAAAAGTGTTAGCAATATCAGGCCTAGTGCTTCGTAATAAATACATTAATGACCCGACTAGACCTCTACAGTCAACGGTTAAGCTGCTATCTGCTCTGGTGTTAGAGCCATATCCTTTATTGGTACTACACGTTTAGCTTGTGGTGTTTAGGCTGTAGTGCAGTCTTGCATCTGATACTTATGCAAAAGATCATTGGAATATTTCTATTGAGACAAACGTAATGTTTTCTTTTCTAGATCCCTTTTAATTTCCACTTTCAGCAAATAGTGCAACTCGCCTAAATCTTTCATTTTAAACTTTGCTGGCAGTCTAACCTTAAGATTGTTAATAGAGGTCATATTTGAGCCTGCAATTATTAGGTCGTCAACATACACGCACTCAATAAGTACGTGTTGGACCCCTTTATCCACCCGCCGTTTTAGACAACTCTCTTTCTTCAAGAAGAAAGTTTCTTGCATCTAAAAAAGCCATAATCTTTAAGGAATTCATTGATAACTCCATACCAAATTCTAGGTGCTTGTTTTAAGCCATACAAACTTTTGGGCAGGGTACATACAAGGGTTGCGTTGCCTTCACGAAATCCTGGTGGTTGCCTCATGTATATACGCTCACTTAAAACACCGTTTAGAAATGCAGTAGATACATCCATTTGATGTCAATACAGTCCTCGAATTGTAGCCAATGCGAGCAAAAGTCACAGAGATTC